CCCCAACACAAAAAAAAAAGGTTCTATTAACAGATAGCAAATGGCTATATTGAAATGTCAAATAAGGACAAAGGAGAAATGAGCTTTGGAGGCCTTACCATTATGGCAACAAATTAGAAGTCTCTTTCCTTTGCTTAGATTCAACTTTGCAAAATTTACTGCAGAAGGGAGATTATTCAACAAGGAAAAGCGATCGAATTTTGATGTCTGGACAGAACAAACAAAAGTAAGTAAAATAATCAGAAAGTGAACTAAAAGATGGAATAAGTCCTCTAATTTTTTTCATAGTTACCAGCACAGGAAGATGCAAATATGCTTCAGTATGTGGACGAGAGACAGTGATAGATTCCTTATCACAATTTAGTATGCAATCGACATTTGACAGATTTGCGGCTGCATGAAATAATGTAACGTACTGTGAGCGTAAGAAAGTGAAAATATGTTGATTATGAAGAGAGAAGAGAAACAGATAGGTGAAATACTCTAGCTAATTTTGAAATTATTGGCAACTTATACTTGAGACATAATCAAGCAAGAATCCTCTTCTCTGTATCACACAACATTCCAAACGTGCTTTTTATAGACACCAACAAGCACCCCAAGAAAAGAGGGTGGGGGAGAAAGAGAATGTACAGCAGTTTCTTTTTTATATCTTCTACTAAATTAATTCTAAAGAAGAAAATCGATCATAATAACGAAAACCTTGAAGAATACAAGCATTGATGAATATGAGTAAATCTTTTAGTAATCATACCAGCTTCGGATGTGCCTACGGCGAGATTAGTTGATCCCAGCCAAGATATTGCACAATGCTCATCATGGGAGTTTGGAACATTTTCCATCTTTGTGATACCTAAACAAAAAGGTGATTGCTTGTGTAAAAGATGAGCTGAGCCGTCTGCCAATTTCGTGGGCTTGACAATAACTTGAGGAGCATTTTGTCCTCTTTGAGCACGATATACTCTATCCTTCTCTAATATTTCAGCTACCTTTTGATTACATAAATCAGGGCCTGATTCTATGATATCATGGGCGTTATTCCAAAACAAGTTAGGTGATAAACCCCTCGCCCAACTTTCTTCATCATCTCCAGCACCTGCTATGTAATTCCAACTATGTTCTGAGGTAGTCCTGATCTGAGTGAAGCCAGTCGAAGAGGCAGAAACAAGTATAATGGGCGTGAAATCCCAAGAATCGTGGTCAGGTACTTCATTTAACCAGATGACAGTTTTCTGCGATATCCATAGAGGGCGCAACGGCTTTTTCAAGCATGCTGCGAGAGAGGCAATATCAGCTCCACTTGCATCCAACTGTTGGGTCCATTCCTCTAACCGATTTTCAACTTTATCTCTCTCTGTTTTGGAAACCCACAGGGGAAGGTGCAAGTAACAATCCCAATCAACAGAGACCTGTCTTGTTTCCTGAGAATGTACATTGGAAATATTACATAACTTCTATTCAAAAGAAAATGGGTGGAAAAAGATACCATGATTTATAAGAAAACAAAGAAATAGTTCCAAATTTAGGCAACTGAGTAATTACAAGAAGACTGAAGAATTAACAGAGCGACCAGGAGTAACCAAGGATGAAAATGTTGACACCAACATGAATATTGAGAGATTGAATTTATGAAAATACAGTTGAATGATGTCAATATTGTCAAGAAAAGTTAAATTCCATATAAACCGTGTCGCTAAATGAAACATATATCTTTTCCATGTTATCTTATCCAGAACCTATATTTACCAATAATGTCGCAAAAATGTAACCAAATTGTTGATATTTACTTCCTTGGCAGTAACAATCCTTATACCTTAGTTCCTAAAGAAGAATTATGACAGAAAACAGAACTAAAATTATGATTTTAAAAACAGAACCTCTCCACTCTAATATGTTGACCATAAACTATCAAAAGTACAGCAATCGAAAACACTATACTCACCCCCTCGTTCAACGGAGAAACATCATTAGTTTTGCTCAAATGGTTGCGAATAGCGCGATTCAGAACACACGTCCAAATGGGTATAGTTTTCGACATGCTATCAGGAAACCTCTTCCCTTTCCGTGTCGAATCCACTATCACACACCCTCCCTTCTGTCCTACCAATTCAACCACAAATCGAAACCAAAAACTTTAAACAAACCTTAACCACAGTCTTCAAGCAATATAAACTTCTTAAAACAATAAAAAATAAAAAAAAAATTTATTGGAATGAGAACTCAAATCTAAAGAGAAACTAAACGAGTACTCATAATGGAATTTATTATATCCTAGCAAACACTTCCTCAAATTATCAGCACTTGCGTATACAAATATCATACATACATATATACACATTCACATACACGTATATATATACACGAGTATTGCGCCTATATTTTCTAAGGGCAACATCAATATTCAGCAAAGGATACTAATACCGAGTAATATCAAACACGCATCAAAACTACTTGATAAATTTTGTCCTTTTTGTTCGCTTTTTCCCTCAATTTCTCATCAACAAACAAAAATCTTCATAAATTTGTTCCCTTACCCTCAATTTCTCATCAAAAAGACGAAAAAGAAAATACTTTTACCGGCGAGTTGAGCGACGTGGAGATTGAGGCGAGAGGTGTTGAAGGACAAGTTATTGGTGTGGCCGTCGGTGGATTTGAAGTAACAGGTGGAGTGGAACTTGGAGGAATACCAGAGGCCGCACCGGAGATTAGCGAGGAGAGGAAGGTCCGGCCATAGCTGGGAGATCTCGCCGACGAAGATGGAGTCCTCGTAAATCGAGCGGAGAGCGTTGTAGAGGCTGTTGTCCTTCCGTTTTATGCTCCTCGCCGCTCTGTATATGCTCAGCTTCGTGTCCGCTTCCATGGATTCCTGATCCTAGGGTTTCTTCCGCAGAGCAGAGCCCCCACCCTGGTTTTCAGCTTCGCGGGTGGTCAGTTGTAGAAGGCGAAGATGGTAAGAGTGAGAGACGCAGAGTCGTTTCTGATACTACGATATGTCGCTTTTCTGCTTTCAAGTCTAATGAGTTTTTTTTTTTCCTTTTTTTTTTCTTTTTTGAGAAAATTGCAGATTCTCACTTATTAAAAATACTCATTTTAAAATATTCTACTCCTTAACTAATTTTAATTTAAAAAATAGAAATATAAACTAATATTAAAAAGTAAAAATAAAAAAAAGATACATTTCATGGGGTATTTTTAAAAATTATCCCTTCTTTTTTTCTTTTTTGAGGAAACAAAGTCCAACGAGTTTATAAGTTCAAAAAAAAAAAAAAAGGTCAAATGAGTCTGTTGATGGGTTTTCTTTGCAAAATGCATTTTAAAATTTTTTGTTTTTTACAAATTGGGATATAAATATTTTATTTAAATAATCTATGATTTAAGACCTTAAAATTGAAAATATGGGACGATTGCAACCTGATGATAAGTGATGGTTCGATAATTAGGATTTCAAATGTCAAAATTAAAATAATTATGGATTTCTGTGCAATTTTAAAAAAAATTATAAGGTAATTCATCAATTAATTAAAATCAACAAAATTAAACTACAATTATCAAGGGTTGTTAAAATTAAAGTGCCAGTTCAAATGTTAAAATTAAAAATTTAAACTCCAACTTGTCAATGAAAAGGGAAAAAAAAAAAAAAAAATCAATTGTCCAAATAACTCGTTTGAGAGGTCCTTTAGAAAATTTATTGTTGTTGCCTGATATAAAAACGACACGTCGGTTGTCTAATTTTGATTACAAGGAAAATTAGATAAACGACATATCATTTTCAAGTAAATGGCCTTCACGGCTTCACCACTGGAAAGTGGAAACCACAAAAATCGTTTTTACTTAAATAAATTTGTTGTCCTCAGATACGAAACGACATGATAGCAGACATTTTTTCTTCTTGTTCTTCTTTTGTTTATTTTTTTCCTTTAAAAAAAATGTTCTGTAGTTTATCTGGAAATAAAAATCATGTCACGTTGGACATCTGCTGTTCGTACACACACACATATATTAGAAACTGCATGTCATTATTGTTTTTTTTTATAAAAAAAAAACCTTTGGTATCCTCTGTTTTCTAAATGTCGTTAACTGATGGAAACAACGTGCCACTTCCTTAAAAAAACAAAACAGAACAGATTGTATTTGAAATTAATCATGTTTTTATTTTTTATGTTTTTAAAAAAATAAAAAATAAAAACGGTTTTAAAACGGTGTTTAACGCAATAAAAATAAGAAATAAAAATAAAAATAATTTTTTTAAATTAGTGTAAAATAAGAGATATTTTTTATTTTCGTTTTCTCATCTCTCGAGTAGAGAGAAAGAAATAGAGACATTAATGAGTTTTTTTATATTAAAAATAATCTTTTAATAAAACTATCAAATGCATTTTAAAAAATAATTTCTATCTGAGATTGAAGATGTTTTTATTTTTATTTTTATACAAAAAATAAAATTATTTTAGAACGAGGCTCAAAACATTTGACGGCCATAAAACTAAGCATTAATTCTTCTTATCCACGTTTTAAAGATCCATACAAACACTTTCACTACAGAATCCCTTTTCATTTATAGAAATTCTTCGCTTCAACAATCATCACAATTGAATCGGAAACAAGAGCCCAATTTCAAGTCTAGTAAATACATTTAGAGCAACATTGTTACGAACGACCCTTATATATTGAATTAGCTCCAACTTTTGGCTGCACTTTTTGCGGCATTTTTCAATACTCCTGTGGAGACAGAGGAAGCGGGATTAAAGGCCTTCCTTATTTTGAAAATATTCCAGGCAGTACCAGCGCAATGACCTGCAGTTGCAAGCACATCCGCCGTCGCCTCGCCGGCATTTTCGCCATACCTGGTTTACAGTAACAACATTGAAGTTACTTTTTAAAATACCATGTTAAATGAAAGATACTTAAAAATAAAATAAAAAAAAAGGGAAAATAGTTATGAGCTTTTTCCTCTTTACCTGTTGCTGACCACTCTAGTTGCGGCTGTGGAAGTGGCTCTAAGAGCTTGTTTCTCTGCAACTTCAAGTGCATCTAAAAGCTTATCTGTGGATTATTATATATGTATTATGATGTCTTTAGTGTATAAATTCATGTAACTTTAGGACTGATCAAATAAGAACATAAGTATAATATTTGTGATGCACTTACTAACAGCATCAAGTGAGGCCAAGAGGACTTCTCCAGGAACCATGTTAAGGAATTTTTTCCCTGCTTCAGATTTCATCATCGGTGCCATCACCGCCCCGGTGGCGATACCGACCCCGTCTAGCATAGTTTTGCTCAGCTTTTCCGTCATCTTTGACAACTTTCTCACACTAAAAGTAACGCAAAAATTAAAGTGTAATATATGAAGTCATTTGATCACTTGAGGACGGAACTTTTCATGGTCATTTATTATTTTCTGGTGAGCTATATATGTGCGTGTTTTTTGAGATATACCGTTTCAAGCTTTTGTTGAGTCCATTCTTCTTCGCAGGGCCAGCAGTGTTGTTGATGTTGTTTTCTTTCTTTTTCACATAACTTTTCTCCTCAACGCCAGGGGTGAGAGTCATTTGCCCTCCCTTTTGAACCTGTTTTTCCTCTCACATATTTTAGTCAAACCAGCCATAGCAATGTCACAAAAAAGATGTATAGCATGGTCACTTTTTTTATCCCATTAAAAAAATAATATTCCCATTGCTCATGATGAAAATTTACTTTTTTTTTTTATTTTTGAGAATGATGAAAATTAACTTTTTGACAAAAAGAAAGTGTAGAAATAACAGTTACTATGATAGGTGTTTAAACAAATCCTGATCTCTATTTAATTTTCCCTGTAATTTCGCAATTAGAGAAAAAATAAATATTAATAATAAGGAAAATGTGATCCTATACTTTTTTTTATTAACATAATTGATCTCCTGATAATATAATTGAACCAAAAGTTCACATCTCAAAAAAGTAGCTTATTATTGGTTCATCCATACATTTTCCTTCTCTTGTGGTTACATATTGTTCTCCTCCTTCAATCAATAAATAAAAAATCCACATACAAATATTGCTCGAATTAGACAATTACCGTAACATTTGCTCCAAATTTTCTTATAAATATTTGAGTGGACGTGTGGTTCATAAATTCAGAATTATAATTTAAAACTATTTTCAATTTATACGTATTTAAAAAAAAAATGTAACAAATCACAAAACATTATCTGAACTATCCTAGGAATTCTTATTCCAAACACAGTCTATGAATATAAACGATCAAAAGCAGAAAGAGAAGAGAGAGAATATCAGAGATAACCTGGTTGGCATAAGCATTGCTACACTTAAAAATCCCCTTGACAATCTGACCAGTCCCTCCGGCAATAGCTCTAGCCAAAACATTATTGTAGCCCTCAACTTTTGGAGCAAACTCCTTCCAATCAACCCCTCTACTTTTCGTCGTCGCCGTCGCCGCCGCTGCCAACCCCGTGAAGCACGAATTCTCTTTCAAGAAAGAGTCCAGGGAGGTCAAGCTCCCAGCATACTGCTCGGGAAACGACACGCCGTAGCTGAGCGGATCGCCATCTTTCATGGGCAAAGAGAAGAGGTAACTGAGAGAGTCAAGCTTCACTACAGGTTCGTCTTTCGTCAAAGGCCAAGTGAGATCTTCTCCAACTCTTATTATGGTGGCGAGGGAGAGATTGTCGTCGAGGATTCTGGTGAGTTTGAAGTCGCCATTGGCGAGTTCTAGAGCTTCTCCTTCGTCCATAAGATGAACCCTGCATAGTGGGATTTGGAGTAGAGTTTCGTGTTTGATATTTTTGGGTTGTACTTCTGACGTTGATGATGATGAGGATTTCATGGCTGGTGGTGATGTGGTTTTGGTTTTGGAGCTGGAAGAACTGAAGCACCCCATTATTGTGGTGCCCTTGCAAAAGGGTATTCTTTTGTTTGTCTATTACAGTGACAGGTTTTGAAAAAAGAAAGATAAAAGTTAGAGAGAGAAAGAGACGAAGAAGAGAGAGAGAGAGAGAGTTTAGCTTAGAGGTAAAGTTGTGGGAGAATAAATTCTCCTGTTTGAGACTTTATTCTATTCCTCATGAAGAAATTTTGGTTAATGAATGTGACTTTCGGTGAAGGGAACTTGAGATCAGAGACGAAAAAAAAAACAAAAAAATTAAAAAACAAAACCCTAGAGTGAACGTCCTAAGTGAACAAAATTTCTAAATTTTTAAAAGAAAAAATACAGTAATAAAAATATTTAAATTGTGGCTCAAACCGATAAAAAAAAATACCATTTTTAAAAGGTGGTTTTCTGAACACAAGGAATCAATTATGGAGTTTTGGGTGGCTTAGGCTAAAGTGGGCATTTGATTGTTGTGGCGTTGGAATTATTTTGATTATGCTAAGGATGGATTCTTGATTTGTAGCGTTCTTTTGCTATGCAGCTTCGTTAGTAGGTTGGAATTCATGGTACAAATTAAGTTCAACTTACACTAGTATAATGTCTTGCGTTATACGTTTTTAACTTTGTAAACTAGCGGTTACTCTTTACTACTATTAACTTGTCAAAAACTTGTCAAGAATTTGACACAAGAACCCGTTATGAGAAATGATACACTTCCGTTTTGGTTGTGATGCAGGAGCAAGCGACGGGTAATTTGGGGTCGTTTGGCTATTTGAGAAAAATGAATTGTCGTTTCATGGCGGCTGGTATAAGGGCGCGAGAAGGTCATTAACTAAGCGCTGTGTCACGGGGTATGAGAGCCTTGGTTACGTTCAGTGCTTAATTTTCTTAGGTGTTTTTTTTTTTTTTTTTTTTTTTGTTAAACGTTATTTTTGTTTAAACTACATTTTTCAACAATAAATTTAGTTGAATCAATGGTATTTTGGTTCTTTTCATCTTTCCAAAATCTGTATCAAGGATGAAAATGAAACAAATTTTCTAAATCCAATACCTTTGAAGTTTCTGAAAACAAAGGGTAAATGAGAATGAAACTAAACTAGGAACTCTAAGGCGTATGTCTATGTAATTAATACTTAATAATAATGATGACAAGGGAAATTGTAGTTAATAGGAACCTTTTTGATAACTCAAATGGACATTGTAGTGTAGTTAACAGGAATCTTGATAAATCTTTGTAGTTAATACGAACCTTGAGTCAACTCAAATGGACATTGTGAACGCTTTTTTTCGAGGAAAAAAAAGAGAGAAAATTGTTAAAACTGACCCTTAACCACATTTTTTTGGAGTTCTACTCTTTTATTATGATAGACTATCATTTTGATAATAATTTATTAAATTTTAGATAATAATTTGTTAAATTACGCTGCCATTGATGACTGAAAATTCGCCGCTAATAATATCTGTCAAATTATCAATAATAATCTGTCAATTTACTTATTTTAAAAGGATAAAATTCAATATTGAAGACTCAAAAAATTTTAACGTGAAGGAGATTTTGTCAAAATAAAAAATAAAATAAAAAAACCTGGAATGGGCATTGGGCCGTAAACCCATTTTGGCCCAGTCGTAGTCATTAGTGAAGCCCAACTCGAACTAAACGCAGATTCTTGTGTGTCAGTTGTAGGCTTGTAGAATGTCATAGAGCTCCGGTAGATCCGCTTCCCCACAAGGTTCCAACTTTTCTTCACCGTCGCCGGAAAATCAACAATCCGTTTACTCCAAACCCACAGGTCTTTTTTGCATTCTCTTTCTTTTCATCTTTCCTTTTACTAGCGTTACTATGGCTAAGACGTGTTGGATTTTATTACTTGAAAGTAAAAACACAAAAGCTTTACAATGTTTACATACTGCTGACCAAAATGATGCCAGACTTTTTAGCTTAAATCTTTCTTCGCTTTTTTTTTTTTTTTTTTTTTTTTTTTTAAATGTCAGGGAACTGAAAAGGGGGCTGCTGAGATTTTGGATATGGTGATAGCTTTAGTAGCAGTGGTTGTGGCTATCTTATTGGGAGCTTTTCTTTTGATCTCTCAAAACCCAAAATCCGGTATTGTTTGTTTCTTTCCTTTTTTTTCCATTTAATTGAAACTACTATATATGAAACTTTTATAGAGAATTTGGGTTTTGATTTGTTAAAGAAAGAATCTCGAGACCCTTTTTTTTGGCTATTTAATTGGTTTGTTTCAGAACTCAAGAGAAAATACTGTAGCAAAAAAGTTAGAATTTGAAATTTTGTGAGGAAAAGCCACTATAGCAATGGAACTTGAGTTGTGAAAAGAACCAGAATTTGGGTTCGGAATTGTTAAAGAAAGAATCTTTTGGGCGCAGGTGGTTCAAAAAATGATCAGTCAAGTGCTAAGAAGGTACCTGTTTAATTCCTTATTGCTCATTTTGGACTGTTCTGTTTCATTACTAAGAAACCTGAAGAAAATGAAGGAAGAAATTTACATTTAAGATTGTGCTTGGGATATCTTAATGCTTTTTCCTCATTTCTTGCATTGTTACATTTCAAGTATGGATTACTTCCTTTCTTTCTTATGTTAATCCCTGGTAAATCTTTATGATTCATTATTTTACTTGTTTTACTCCAAAGCGATTGTTGTTAAAACGGGGACTCAGCTTGGAGCAATGCTATAGCTGGCTTTGCTTTCAAAGATGGTGATTCAAATACACCTGGTTTTCAAGTCACATAACTTGGGAAGGCGGTTCTTCTAAAATTGTTCAAGAGAGGAGATTAATGCCCCCAATAAGATATGCTAAAAGTGTTTTGGGTTATGATCGTGACCTATTTGTTCATAAAGTTATCCATTTACGTGTTATAAAGCTCTCAGAACATTACCATGTTAGAATGAGCCCTTTTGTTATGACTATTTTTTTTTTTTTTTAATCCAATGTATGTCATTTGAAGTTTCCTTTTTTTTTTTTTTTTTCAAGACATGCTAATTGACTACTCTCTTTGTTTCAACAATCTATTTTATTAGGGAGCCAAAGTCTACAGCAAAGCTGAAGTGTCCTTGCATAATAAGAGAACAGACTGTTGGATCATTATCAAAGACAAGGTTTTTTTTTCCCTCTGAATTTGGTTTTTTGGTCCAAGGGAAGTTTAAAAGCACATATTGACTTCAGATTATCTTTTTACAACTGTAGGTGTATGATGTTACCTCATATGTAGAAGAGCACCCTGGTGGTGATGCCATTCTTGCACATGCTGGGGGCGATTCAACCGAAGGATTTTACGGGTATGTACTAGCCCTTTTGCTGATATAGTTTCCGTTCATAAATAACTAATAAGCATGTTTATTCAACTGAAGAGTTGCATTAGTAAAATCAAGTTCACTTGCCTCATTTTGTTTTGTTTTGTTTTGTTTTTGATTCTCCTCCATTCGGCAGGCCACAGCATGCAACTCGAGTTTTTGACATGATTGATGACTTTTACATAGGTGATTTGGAGAAGTAGTTACACCGATTGGGTTGTACAATGTCTAGAGATTTTTCAAGTTTCAATTTTTTTTTGTTCCCATTTCTGCTTTAATGCGATTTGTTTCTGCATTTGCACACTTCATTAGTTGGCTTCATAGGTAAATACCGGTATGAAATTATTCATCTCTTTAACTTGTTTGTTGATTAAGTTGGTTAGCAAAATTGCTAGTATTATCTGCCCTTGGTTTGTTATGATTTTTTTTTTTTTATCATTATGAATTTATCCAGTGTATTTTTTTTTCTTTCTTTCCCCACCTAGCAGAAATCACGTTTCTAATGACACGTCAAATAAGAAAGTTCTAGGTTGACTTTGATCTTGCTCAAGTGAGCTTCATGTTGCTACGAAGTTCATCTATCTATTCGAGACAGAAAATTGGGGTTAATCACAAATCACAACTATGATGAGATCAAAAGGTTTGAAATGGGTTAAACTGAAATGCAGCAAGATCAGATGTGAACGAGCCTAAACAAATCAATTAAACCTACACCAAGAGCCTTGTCTAGTGACATTCTAATTTTTTTTCTTTAAAAAAAAATTAAATAAAGATGGTGGAAGTTCCATCCTTGATCCCTCGTCAAGTTAGACTTTTGCATCTTTTTTGTTTCTCTTGTAATTGTTTAGAACACACTGCAATTACCCTTGTGACTTTCTTTTGTTTGTTTTTTTTTTTTTTCTTTTTTTATTTATTTATTACAATTGGGAATTGGCTACATATGGACTGTTTTGACTTTAAATAGTTTTTCTTTTCATAAAAGAAAAACGCTTCGGGGCAGCACTACTAATGGAAGTGGGTCACACCAGCATGTCCTATATAAGGGGACGCACTTTCTATTAATGAACCGCTGATGTCCTATAACGTTATTTTTTTTTAAAATGTTGCTACGAGCTGCAAATGGAGTAAGGGTAAGGTATAAATAAATTGTAAATAAATTGGACAGACGCTATAGAGAATGGGAAACACATCTTTCCTGTGTCTCAATTGAATTTCAACTGTAATATTCTACAAATTACAGAATAAAAAACATTGCAAATTACAAAATCAGCCCAGAGAAGGTGGGTTGATGCTGATGAATGAAATGGAGAAAAATTGGGGAATAAAAAAATTATGAAAAAAATAAAAGAATCTAAAACACTTCCAACCAATCAATAATAGAATGCACCAATCAAATACAACCCCAAGTCCCAATAAATTTATCTTCTAAAATTCCTGTTGCCCATCTACCAGTTCTCTAAAATTTGGCAAAATGATCACACAATATGTTTTCTTAAATCCCCTTTCTAGCTGTCAAACTTCTTAGGCTGGCGCCACTGCACCAAACTTCTTGCCAAAGAGCTCAGAAATGATACTTTTGCAGGAGCTCCTTTCTTCCCATATAAATTCTTTCCTCCTAAATCTGTATATTTTGGACCAATATCCTTGCTTCTTTCAATCTGCAGTGAGATTAGAAAGCAGCCTCAAGAATTGGGATTTGTTGTCATCTCTTCAATGATATGATCCCTGCGTGCTTATCCATATATATGTGTGTGTGTGCGCGCAAAATTTATGCTTTATAAAACTTGGTTAACGTACCTTCCTTATCTTCCCATCCTTTAAGTGGTACCGGATACCGGACCAGTTAATAGATTGAGAGAAATGAGAACGGATTGCAGAGATTGGGTATAAGAAGTTATCTACCAGCAACGCAATAAATACCTGCCCATTTGCAAAGCCAGTTCATTTGCATTAGATATTATTTATAAATTATCATGATGTGCCAGCTCCAATCCACTCAGGCTATGTGTAAAGAATTTTACAAGCAGTAAGAGTATTGCCTTTTGCATTTTTGCATCTTTCGATTTGAGACTTCTATTTACCCCTAGGCTCAATACTTTTATCCTGTCAGCTTCTGTTCGTATCTTAAAGTTCTCAATGAATTCACATTTAGAAAGCTAGAGGGATGACTCATTTGGGGAATAGACTCATAAGCCACAAGGAGCTTTATGCAGCTACCATGAAGTACTAATATGAGGATTTGCAATTTTGCATTAACAACCTACATAACTCAAGAAATAAGAATGGCAAACGAAAAATTAGCCAAAAGCCAAAATTTCTTACAAGGCACCAGTTGAACGAAGCAAGCGAGAGCCGAGGTGCCTCAGGAGATAATATATTGCATAGATGAACTTCAATTCTTGTCAAGTTCCACATTGAGAGAAGTTCTATCAGAGTGCATATCGCTAGGCCAGCTACCAGTCTCAACCCTGATAAAGATAGTTTACGGCTGTAAGAATGCGAATTTCATTTTAAAAAACAAAAACAAAAAGTCTACTAATCTGACACGCTTTGAAGTAGGTTCACTATCATCTGATCCTGATTACACGATCTAATTAGTACTATCAACCTACCTACAAGAGAAAAGAAGAGTGCTCACCACCAGAGGTAATGGTAGTTTCATCAAATGCGTAACCTTTAATGTAAATACGTAGTGCTGCTGTGATATGAATCATGGCCATTAAATACGGCATTACAAAACCCCACGACAGATAGCAGTGGGACGTAAATAATGCTCGATTCATAATCCAGTTAACTCTTGAAATATATGATTCCAACACAAACGTTTGCTTTCTCAAGTAATTCCAGTACCTGCAGAAGAAATCACACCATCAACATGATATCTAAGCGTTTGAGTGTGAACAACTAAGCATGACAAACCTTGAGAAACTAAGATCACTTGCAAGGGGGTGAGGGAAAACAGCAACTGGAGGTGATGTAATTAGTCTCTTATAAGCCCCTGCGAAAGGTTCGCAAACATCAGAACTTATACACCAATTTAAACAGTTTAGGGAAAAACTAAAAAATTAAACTAATTAACATATTACCAGATATAGCCGCAAGAGTCATATCGTCAGAATAACCACCGTCTCTAAGTCCTGAAACCACACTATAGTTGTCTTGTCTAAAATCTTCAGCATGCATCTGCAAATTATTCAAAAGGATCAGAAAATTGTCTCAATCTAGTGCAAGCAGTTAATAAAAAGGTAGCAGCTACTTGCCATCATGCACCCTCCCCATAGAAAGAATGTCTTCCCACCAGTAGCAAAGCCCATCGAACACGGCTGTAGATGGAAAACACTCCAAATTTTATGGATGAAAAGGACAAGAATTGAGACAATATGGAGAAAAAATATAGCTAAAAAAAATAGATGATATAGCCTAACTAGTTAACTGTGCAAACTACAACATAGTCAAAACTCATAATATATACATATATATATATATGGTATAACAATTTTCGGTAAATAAAGTGAAAAATGGTCTGTACCATATGATATTCGTATATGCAATAACTCCCTAGACTTCCTGAAGGTAAATCAAGAGGGTAGCCAGTTTGAATAAATATCTGCACATCATTGAAAAAAAGGTTAAGACTTAAGACTAAACAAGAATCTAAAAGAAAAGCTAGATTACTAACTATAGGTCATGGCTATTAGAAGCACGCTCCAAAAACAGAAGATGGACTTAAATATACCGACAGCTAACCAAAATAAAACTAACAACATTTGAATTTAGCATGCATGATTACCTCGGGATTTTTCTCCATCTCAGCAGTGAGGGCTCCAATTGACCCAGGATGAAGCCTGACATCATCATCCAAGAATAATACATACTTCGTTTCTTTATGCATTTTCTCCACTCCAACCTTCAGAAGATTACGACTATTTTAGTAACTAACATGAATAGACATTAGAGAATACAAACCTATAAAGGAAACAAATTTAGATAGGTATATGTGATAATTACTGTACCCAAACTCTATATAATCTCGTTTCTAGAAGCCCTTCTTTTCTACGATTATCTATCATACAAGCGTCAACCTATGCAAAATCTAGCCTAAACGAGTAATACCACTAAATTAAGACAAACAATTAAGTTCTGCTATAATCTAGAAACATAAGCACCTCAATTTGAAGAACCATTACAAAGATACATATCTGCCGGGGGGGCAAAAACATACACACTATATAGCAGACAAATTGGGGATTTTTTTCACGAGGAAAATACATGCAGCAAGTTTTAAACTCAATTTGTACCAGCTGATTGTGAATTTTCTGGCTACAGGTTGTTGAAAGACCAGCTACAACAATCTTTGCGTCAACCTCATCCTGTGCATATGGCAAACACATAGATAGGTCAGATAGGGCTCCAATGGAAAAAAAGCTGAAACATATCCGACTTATACGTTTGCGCTAAAGATAGTCTAAAGGAAAGGCATTCAATTAAAACAAAACTTCACGTTATCAGTAAAAGATGCATGCATTGAGTCATAATACTGCACGACATTCAACTTGGATTTCTTTTTCTTTGTCACTAATCTATTTCAGATAATTCAGACCTGAATAGATACTATGAATGTCTGTATACCTTGTAATCCGATAGTAACCGAGACACAGCATGGTAAGCAGGGTCTTCTGTACTTTCCACAACAAAAAGGAATTCCAGAGGACCCCCATAGAGAGACGTAATCTGCAATCATCAATGAAGCAGAACAACATAAGCACGCAATATTGGCCTTTGCAGCCGGAGCAAAAAGATTGAATGTAAAATGAGATAAGAACTGGCAAAAGCAAAAGGAACAACCTAAATGAAAAGGGTATTGATCCGAAAACAGTTGTCTACAATGAATGGTGAAAATATAAACAAAAAGTTCCAAGTAGAAAGTAGAATAGACATCGAAAGCATAATAACTGTTCTGCTCTTTCTACTTCTTCCTTAAACAAGAGGGAAATGTACCTTTTAAACAAAAGGCAGCATAAATTCTATGCAATAAAAAATCTGCTAATTCTTATGAACTTTCTTGCTAGATGCGTATTCAAACTAATGTAGATAGGAACAGTGTTTGGATAAAAGGTGGCATCAACCTCACCTGACTTCTCCAGTTATGTAAATTGTGTTCTCCAAATCCCTTTAAAGGCATAACAACCGACACCCTAGGCAGATTTAGCTGATGAGAGTGCTCAAGTTCATTGATATCACGATAAAGAAACGCAAGACTATTGCCACCTTTCATACTATCCTTCATTCGATTGATCTCTCTGTTCCTGCAATTGAGGAAAAAGAACAATAAATGTACCTCAACTAGCAATGACCGCAAAAATTAAACGAACGGCAAACAGCCCATGTCAATGCACTTATTGTTGGTCATAGTCGTAGACGCAAATACCTGACATAAGCAGCGAGAGCCCACCCAAAAGCAAGAGTTAAGCAAATAAAACATCCCTGCAGAAAAAAAGTAAAGAATTTAGATTTCATATAAGGCGCGCATCACAAACTGAAATAGCAATTTTCCTGAAACATCAAGGGAGAGGAGCACGCATTATGAGCAGTAAAATGAAAGATAAATAAACTTCTACTATTCTAAAGCATGTCCCATATTGCCTGTAACAAACAAAATATCCTGAACAACGAAGGAGAAGCGGCATTGTTTGTTTCGCCAAACGGAAAACAGAGATATTCAAAATCTAAGCTTTTGAAGAGAGAAGGAAAATGAAACTAATTGAATCACCGCATAAAAAAAAAAAGACAGAAAGGTAAGGAAAGAACAAATTTTAAATCCAAAAAACAAGAGGGAAAACCAACTTCTCGGTATTGCTTGAAGCAATTCCGAAAATTTCAAACAGCAAATCCAAACGAAACGCAAAGCAGCGGCAATGTCCTATCCCTCCCAAACTATCTCCGGAGCCAAACATTCCTGGATCTAAGACAAACGAGAGAATCGCAAAACAAACAAACCTGGATCTGGACGAAAACCGCGAGAGGACTGCAAAACGCTCTGCTGAGGTTGAAGAGGAACGAATCGAGAGGATCCATTGCAGACATTGTCCTCTGCGAATATCTCTGTACTCTTTCCTGTCACTTCGCTTTCTCTCTCCAAAAGCCGAAAAACACAAACCTCGCGCGGTTTTCTTCACGAAGAAAGCCAGGTGTTTGTCACATTCATCTCTCAGATCGCCATGGACGAGAGCTTGAGCAAAGGTAAGAGAGAGAAAGAGAAAGGGAAATAGAGGAGAGAGAGAGAAAAGAAAGTAAGAATGAGAGAGCGCGTAATTTATAATTGGGAGACGATGATGGCCTCATTGACCACACAAACAACAATCAAGCAATCAAATTCAATCAGAACTTTTTTAGAGAGAGAGAGAAAAGAGAGAGGAGAGAGAAAGGAGATTATTGATTGGGAGAGGGAGAGACCGTTAGATTTGGGCAGGCGTTGGTTATACTTGTTTATAGGTAGAACTAAGGAAAAAATTTGACTGATAGACGCGGAGAGAGAGAGAGAAATAATCGTTCATTTTACTCATTTAAATTTAAAATTTAAAATTTATTATAATTAAAATTTTTAAAAAATAATTAGGTTTAATTTTTTATTATAATAAAAAAA